GGTTGTTCTGAGAGTGATTCGGACTGTGCCCCAGAAAGTGTTTTTTTGTTTAGTTTTAGTATGTTTTTACGGCGCTCGCAACTGCCTAAGGTCATATGAGCACCAAGGGGTGGATGTCAACAGAGAAGTCCAAACGGGGAATCAGGCTTACTCTGCTCACCTCTCTAGCCTCAACTGCACAAAGTCTGCTGCGACTATCAAGTCACCCCGGAAATAGCAGTTCACAAGAGTGTGACAAACATACAAAAGAAGTAGAAAGTAGTTTTCAGTGAAAGGTTTTTTTTAACGATAGAAAAAGAACAAATATCATCCTTTTAATCAAGGAAATCGGCATAGTTTTTTGGGACATCTAAACATACACGCTGTGTAACATGTACAGATTTATTGGCGGAGACAGGTATGCCCAACAAGTATAAATAACTAATCACTTTGCTGTTGTTGTTTCAGCGACTGTTGCTTCTACTAGTTTTTGTTTCTGTTGCAGTAGTTGCTGTTGTTGTTGCCGTTGCTGATGCTGTTGTCTTTTGTGCTGTTGTTGTTGCTGTTTTTGTTGGTATTGTTTTCTTTCGGGGCAAGGGTATCAAAACTGGCGGCCCGCGGGCCTATTGTGGCCCTCAGGGCGATATTTGCCGGCCCATACTTGACATAAAGGTTGAGTGTCACTGCGACCCGCACGATTATCTCACACGTAGCTTTTTAGTCTAAAGGCCTACTTTCTGAACAACAACTCATGTTATGAACTACTATTGATACAGATCGATAAGATTAAACAGTTTTACTTAAAAGTTCGAACTTTTTTGGCTGTTGAAATACTTGATGCGGCCCAGAATCTTCCTGACGTTACCTCCCACGACCCCTGGGGAATTTGGGCTCAAGACTCCTGTTGTGGCTTGATTTCATGTTTGTTCTAGAAGTAAGCTACTTCGTTCCGTAGAAAGTGTTTTTCAAAGACATTATGATTTATTGGTTCCAAAACATCCAGCCATTAATCAAATTATATTAATTTGTGAATTCTATTAAACTTTGATCTAGTTTGAGTTAAAATCGCTGCTTTTAACACACACACATTATTGATTGATTGATTTAAAAAAAAATCACATTCCACGACAAAATTAAAGTTGAGTACAAAGTTGTTGTAGCGCAGTAATGTTTTGTCGTAAAGTTTACAGTGTGCCCTGGAAGCATTGTCCTGAATTGTTTCGTTAGTTTTCTGAAAACGGACTTTGAAAAAGAGAACGTGCCCTCAACTGCTCACGTCATATTCTCTGTCTCTTTTCTGTATTTCTCAATTGGTGCGCTCTAGACTTTGGCCGCATGGTCATTTCATTTGGTTCTAGCCAAGATACCATCCTTCACTGCCGTGTAAACGAAGTGCGTTCTCGTCAGCGTTCTCCAAAACTTAAAAAACCAAACTAATTAATGTAAGCGTTCTAATACATTTAACGTAAAGTTGTTCCCGTATCCGATCCGAACACTGGGGATTGCTTGGTCAGTGAGACAACTTCCTGGGCCTTTGGCATATTGCGGTAGGGTGGCCAGTTCCTTTCCACGCCGCCTTTACTTCCACAACTCGAAGTCAGGTAGCCATTTCTGTTGGATGGGCAGGAGGGGGAGATAAAATTCAGTGTCCGAACCGAGGCTCGAACCCGGAATTTCTGCTTCGGAGACGAACGCACAAACAGCTCCGCCACCGCACCTTCTTATCAACACAATTTATATCGATCAGGAGGCGCCTACCCGGGCTGAGAGTGATACAACATCCCAGGAGAAAAACCGAAATACTGGATGCAAATTTGCCCCACTCGAGAATCGATCACGGGTTTCCCTCGTGCGACAGCGAAATGTCTAACCGCTACACCATAGATGTCTGTTCCAAAACTAACTGCTCCTTTTCATTTTTTTCTTCTGGGTCACAGTGGACTTTTTGGTAGAGATACACTTCGTGCGGTTGCTGATTCGTACCTCAAAAAAAAAAGGGGGGGGGGTGAGTGGGTGGGAGGGGGAGGGAGGATAATGATACAGCTTTGGCCTCAAATCTCTCTTGAATAAAAGTTTTAAACACTATCTGTACAGACTTAGATGTCCCAGCAATGACAGGCTTATGAATAAGAATGAAAAAGAAATAACTCAATTTTGGATGCAGACAAATTAATGTTCAACATAATGATTCAAGAGGGAAAAGCACGGCCAGAATTAATGATTATATTATCACAAATTTTGTTGGGCCACAAAAGCAAGTTTTTCAAACTCAAATCAGCCCAGAAGAGCCGGTTCAAGCTTAGAAAAAGTTCCCAATCGGACGACAAAAAATGCGCTAATTGAGAGAGCTAAGAGTTAGTTTATAATGGACAATTGGATTTTCTTTCAAAGAAGTAATTGGCAATGAGGAGAAACGGATTTTTATAAAAATCTGAGAAGGCTCACATGGCGTAGAGGTTAAGGTGTTCGCCTCTCAATCAAAGGTCCCGGGTTCGATTCCGGGTAGCGACCGAAAAATTTTCTTTTCTAAAATTTTCTCCTTTCACCTTCTTTCATTTTCTCTTACAATATTATTATTCTGTCGTCTGCTTTCGTCTCCATTTTCTGTGCTCACCTCCTTTGCCCCTTCCTCTGGGCTCCTGACACTTTCTTTCCGCAACCTTTCTACTGCTACTCCTTGACTCCTTCTTGGTGCAGTCATTCAGCCACACCCCTGATCTTCTGGTAGGAAAAGATCTACACGTAGCGTTCTCGTACGAGGGCGAAAAATCTCGGGGGGGGGGGGGGGGGAGGGGGGGGGGCGAGAGCAAGTTGCGCACGTTAAAGATACATTGGGAGTCTAAAATGGATACGAGTAGGCTTCGGCCGTCAGCCGGGTAAAATTGAAAATGTCCTACCAACTGAACAAGTTCAATGTGTCCCGTGCACTCATGTGACCTTATACAGTTGCGAGCGCCGTAAAACACTTACCAAAACAACATATTTTAAATGATTTTCATGCTCAATAAATTATGCCAATAGGTGAGTAAGCAAGCAGTGATTTTTATTCGCGACTTTGCAAATTAGTGAAAGAATTTCGTAACTAATGTTAGGCCCCTTCCTCCCCCCCCCCCTCCCAAAAAAAGGAAGTTCCTCCACTCGTGTCTTTAGACCACAACTTCCGATGACAACAAACAATAGGTAAAACGTTAATATGAAGCATGTTACCAATACCATCACCTCTTTCCTACCCCAGGCAAATTGTACGCCTAGTTTAATGTATGTTTTTAATAACAGTTTTACGGAACTTGCAACACAACATAAATAGGTAATGTAGATGCCGAAGGTTAGAACTGTTACTAGAGACTAACAAACAAAGAAAAAAAAGGAGAAGAGATAAGGACCATAGATGTTTGATGCGAAAGAAGAGGCCCACCACACTCGAGCACCCGCCAACCGTCAACTCCAAGCATTGTGTATAATTTTATGTTGGAGGGAGGACAATCTCAACTGTTTTATTTATATCATTCCGGAGGCAGACTGCTCCGATCATGCCTGTCAGGGCCAACCCGGGCTGAGAGGGCCACAACTTCAAAGTAAGCGGGCTGAGAGAGACTCGTTGAAATCCTATCCATGCGAGATTTGAACTCATGCCTTCTGAATGCGACGGCGATACCATGTTTTCGGTAGTAAATATCCGTATGTAAATGAAGTACAGCTTTATATCAATTCTCACGATAATTATCTTTATAATAATCAGTATAAATATAGATGAAAGCGTAAGCGATGGGTGACGGGGCAAGATCATGATAATAATAATAATACTATGGCTATTTTGAGAGCCTTAGAGCAAGGGATGAAAGGCGAAGAATGATCAGCAATGTCTGTCGCAGATCTGGCACTTGATGGAGGTGATTAAGGGTTACACCCCCACGAGTCCCGATTCGGCTCAAAACTATGCATTTTAAGTTGAAGGTTTTTCAAGCTTTTTCTGCATCTCTTACTACTATTTCATCGCATATATATAGTGCATGCAGCCTTATTTCTTCCCATACCGGGCATGTTTGTCACCACCATTTCCTCATAAAGTTAATCTTTTATTTTTCCTCATCTCCCGTATTTTCGAAAGGTGGCTTTTCTATATATACTTTTTATAACGCCACCATTTTCATCCAATCCTCATACAATTTTCACAGAATGAAGAAAAGATGTAACAGTAAAAAATCCAATGTGGCCGCCGTATCCATGGAAAAGAAACCTTTTTCCTCAAATTTGATTGTGGATTTTAAGACGCCTTACTATGCTTGTTATATGTTTGAAATTTGGTAACATTTGACCCTCTAATAAGCAAGATAGACTTCAGCTGTAGCCCCTATCCTTAGTATAGACAATCTCAAAAGTCTGACATTGCTTGTCGCCACTGTGCAGCTTTATGTCTTTGAGTTGTGGTATCGTGTCTTGCTTCAGGGCAGTACCCTGTGACCCCCCCCCCCCTCGTCCCATCCACCCCTCCCCCCACGACACACACATAACGGCCGTGTCACCGGCACAACGAGATGTCACCGACACATGTTGAACACCCCTGTGCCTCTGATCTCCTTGACCACTCGGCCGGTAGTGACCAACAGGATCAGGGTGACTGCTCATTTCCGTCCCTGTAATCTTGTCTCCGCGGACTATCGTGGTTTGTTGTGGTGAGGT